ACCGCTACGTTTTTGACAGGAAGTTCTCTGTCTCTATCGTGTCGTGAAATATAGTTATATGCATGCCATGTGGATCTTTGAAGGTCTTTTTGTTAAACCTTTTAAATGATCCCTATTAAAGTGATAGATAACGAGCTTGCAGTAGTAGCGATGTCTCCTTCGTAAAAGGAAAAGCCTTAAAACAAACATTTAACTACATTACATCACATTTTAACAGAATACAGTTTATTGTCTATTAATTGTCTCCCGCTGACTTTCTAGACTGGCCATGAGAGAGCTGAAGTATACTTCGATATTGAGTTGTTTCAACACGCATTATCGTCTATCAGTCACTGAATAAAGTCGCAAAAACAATTCCTGTAGCATGCAAGGAATCGTTCGTGAAGGTAGCCATAGAAAAGCTATCAGTGCTTGGATTCCAGACACATTGACTGGAAAGCTCAATACCTCGGTCGCGAATCGCACCGATGTACACCAGCGCTGTGATCTTGTATCGGGCACTGAACAATAGTTTGACATCATTTTCCATTGCTTTACTTATTTTGCGGCACTTTTCACCGCAAATGACAGGATTGAATTCCCACTTGTCTAGGTGAGAGAGCAATATTTGGCGAATAAGTTCTCGAATTCTTGAGTGAATAACGCTTGATTTAAAATCTCTGTAATCCAAGCCGCAGGTTTGAGACTCCTTGTTAAAACTGGTTTGTTTATCTACAGTTTCCGCTCCCCTGCTTAGAACACTGTCTTTGCCGTCAAATCCTTGACGTGTGCTGGCGCGCAACTTGAACGAAGGCACATTTACAGTGGAAATACGACGGGATTCCTCTTGATAATGAGTGGTTTCTCGCAGGTTGAAATCGTCGGCCATTCCAGGAAACCCGGCGCCATCGACAGTCTTTAAAAGCTCTTTCTCTGTATTAGCAGTATGTACTCTCCGTAACTTTGACCTTACAAGTCCTCCAACGGATTTATTCAGGCCTCTAAGTCGCGACACTGGGCTTGAACCGGGTTTTGCGTTCATTATCACCACTTATCTCCCGCTTTTCGTCAATAAAAAAACGCGATTGGATCAAAGAACGAGACAAGCATCTAACATAAGTTGACCGACTTAGGAGCTTTATCAGCAACGTAATAAGCTTGTTATGTTTACATTGAGTCTCGATAAACTGTCTTCAACATATTGGTGTGGTATAAATTATCATTTGAGCTTTTTAACTCTGTCAGATGTTGTTCATTTGATTGGCATATGGTGATCCTAATATAAAACGCTCCCGCGCCGCAAAATCTACAGTTACCAGGGTCTCTCCTCATTACTTCCCCAGGGTCCTGGTACGAGATTGGCGCCAAACGAAATTAAAGTGGCCTGTCTTCGACAACACAGATCGCCCAGAATCTTTGTTGATCCATTGCAGTAGACCACTTTGTCTTTGTATGATTTGTTCTCCAAACGTATGTGATGATATATTTTCAAGCGAATTCGCTTTTTGCCTTTATATGATTTGTAAGTACATTTGAAAGTGAATGTAAAGACGAAATTGAAAAGGAACATCTCTCTACAGTCATGTGCTCCTGCTAGAGTTTAAAGGGTGTCAGCGAAATGTATACCAGCTAAACTGTCTACACCTGTTTATTATTTTACGCCTCTATTTTAAGCGTTATACGAGTCAGTAACATCTAGCTGAGCCAGCTGGCTGAGCTTATCTCATTTATCACGAGAGAAAGGAGTCGGCTTTCCGTTTTGTATTTCTTTCCTTTTCCCTTATCTCTAAAGGCTATTCCTTTTATGGGCAGGATGAAGTCAAACAATGAAACTTAACCGCGACTGCCATCATTCGGTCTCTGAAATGACCTATTTTGAGCCCTTACTGAACATACTAAATGATGCTGTTGATCAGAAGGGGAACTGGGCGGGGGTTGAAATTAATTAAATAAAACAAATGAGTGGGCATTGTCTTTCCAGTTCACAAAAACGATAATAGTGGGCATGAAATCAGTATGATTCGCATTGAATAGCGGGTGCCCTGAGGGCTTTTCAATGAGCTGAACGACTGGACGTCGCTACAGCTCGAAATCAGTAATAAGCCCTTGGGATATGTGAATTTCACCAAAGCTATTATAGACAAATTAAACGCTCGAAATTTATCTGAAGATGGTTTTTCGGAGAGGTCTTCAAACTTTTATTCAGTGTTTTCGCATTATTCTCTTTTGGTTTAATTCGTTGATTCCCCCCCATGAACTTAATGAACAATTAATGAATGAGGCTGAGTATCTTATGAAGAATTTTGGAGACCGAGGAGGGTGTTACGGCCTCGACTGATAACACTCTCCGAGATCTCCATAATTCTTCATGATACGAAAGTCGAATTCAATAATTGTTTTATTATTCATTCAAAATGATTCCTAGTTTAAAATCATAGCTAAAACATACTTACCTCCATCGATGTTAAGTTCATCTTCGATAGTGTACGTTTAGGTTTGTCCAGCTCAGAAAAAAAATTCTCCAAATAGAGGAGATGTCGCCCTTCGAGTTGTCTTCTTGCTGTTCTTGCCATGTTTTTAGCTATTAGGGACTGTGCAATAATTATCAGGAGGGGGGGGGGCCTAAAACCAGAGGGGGGGGCCTTAAGTTAAAATAATGGAAAGGAGGGGGGGCTCTACATTAGATTCTCAAGTAAGTTGAGGGGGGGTCTTAATTAAATTTCACAAATTCGATAATGAATAAATAAACATTTTCCAAATAGACAGATGCCACTCCTTATCCATAATGTCTAAATATTGCATCAACATAAACACATGCTTTAACTTATTTAGAATGTCAACATATGATAGATTGAAACAATCGTTCATGCACAGAAGTCACAAACCACGTTGTGAGCTTTGCCAATAAAACATTTGGCATTTAAGAGGTCCCGCAGACATGCCAGGTGTGTTCTTGATTTGAACAGCGAGAGGGTTTCTAGGTCTACAGTTTCTAGCTGAGGAATGCCACATGCTTCTGTTTCATAGTTGTCATCAATGGGTTCACCTCCCAAAGACCGAAAAATTATACAGGTACGGGTTAGAGAGGGGGGGCACATCATAATTTTGAGAGAACGTGAGGGGGGATCACAGCTAATCTTGACGCTGCTGGAGGGGGGACCTATCTAATTTTTCCTTTGGTGAAGCTCATTTTAGGACCCCCCCCCTCCTGATAATTATTGCACAGTCCCTTATTTCGCCTAGTTCTTACTCTTGAAACGAGTGAAATGTACGAAATTTTTGTTTTCACAACCAAAACAACTCAAACTTGTTCCCAGGTCTTCTCGGTTAACGGTGTATTAACCTGCAAGAAAGCTACACTTTTGACGTCATCGGTTGATTAATCACAAAATTCTTCCAAATTTGGTCATCAGTAGCTGGTTATGGTGAATTATGCGGGTGCTTTTGGCCAATCAGAATCAGGGAAATATTTTGAATGAATAATAAGTGAACTTAAGTGAAGTGAGTGGGTAGTGTTTCCCCAAGCCAGGATATTAGAGCGTAGCGAGATGTTCTAGGTTTGTTCTAGGTTGCAACAACGGAATTTGAAGTCATCGCATAGAGAGACTCAGGATACACTGTTGTATTAAGGAACGATATCAGGCCAACTCAGTCTAGCACGGACTTTAATAACATCATATTAAAACACAAGCTATGTACAATAATGAAAATCTAAGCTTATAAAAAGTATAATTCACTAAGCGGTAAAAGATAGCAGTTACTGCAAATGGCATTCTAGTGTGAACCTTGAAGCGAAGATACATGACGGTCAGACCATAAATCTGACAACAAACTGAGTTTGAGAAGATATTATATTATTTTTAATTTTTAAAAACACAACGATACTTTTAAGTTTGTGGAACATGTTTCAAAGTTTCAAACATCTTCTTCAACCATACAAGGTATAATACTACTAGCGTACAACTAAATCGGTATATATAACTGTCCAAACAGTGATCGCTTATAAATTCAAAATTCGTTACACATATTAAAGCTAACCAATAATATGTAAGGAAACCAAACGAACTACAAAGGTAAACAAATTAAAAATGTAATGCTAAACTAACATGCTCAATTTGCTTGTTAAGTTCAATGTTAAGTATCGTGAGCACCTTTTTCGGGACAGGAATTCCCATATTTTTAAGCATCTCAGCAGTTCTAAGAACTGTTAAGATAAATGTGGAGTCTCTTGCTTTAAAATTATTGACACTGCTGGTTCTTATTAACAACTTAAGGTCAGGGAGAGCATTCCGATATTGAACAACTGAAACATAAAGAGAAGATAGTGTGGTGGCGTACATGCTGAATCTGAACCTAGTTGAATTCTCTTCTGAGAAAGCCCGTTACTTTCTTATAAAACAATTCACACGAAAGAATACTGCACAATTTTTGTCCTTTGCTACATCATTAATGAGAATTTTACTTTTTATCAGATACTACACCTTTAGGGAGGCGTAGGCTTTTCAGTATGCAATCATTGTTTGTAAGTGCTCTAGTCAAATGTTTTACATCTTTATCGGTTATCTGGGTAGCACAGTCGCTATGGTAACCAGAGAGGTTTAAGCTGTTTAGTTTGCAATTGCTTCTACTCGGAAAATTGCACTCAAATACAAAGTAAAAAAGAGCAAAAACGGTAAATTTACTTCCAACTATAAGCTAGCCCAACCCATTTTGCAACGAAAATTTTCCTCCGTAGATAAGTCCCTCCAAAGATAAGCCCCTCAAAAAGGGCCTTTGAAAAATATGTCCCAGGGCTTATTTTCGGAATTTTACGGTGTGTGGGTACTACAGAGGCTTAAGCTGTTTAGATTGCAATTATTGTCTCTGAGTGCTTTAGTCAAGCGTTCGACACCTTCATCATTTATCTTATTCTAGGCGAGGTTTAAGCTACTTATTTTACAATTAGGGTTTATGAGTGCTGTAGTCAAGTGTTTTGCATCTTTATCAGTTATAAATCTCATTGTTAGCGAGGCTTAAGCGGTTTAGTCTGGAATAAGTGTTACTTTTGTTTCTGTAGTCCAGTGTTTTAGAGCTTCATCAGTTATCCCGTTGTTCCATCCGAGGCCTAATCTGCTTAGTTTGTAATTAGTGTTTTTGAGTGCTTCCATCAAGTGTTTTACAGCTTCATCAGTTAATAAGTTGCCAGTCAGGTTTAAGCTACTTAGTTTGCAATTGGTGTTTATCAGTGCTGTAGTCAAGTGTTCTACACCTTTATCAGTTATTCTATTCCAATCAAGGCCTAATCTGTTTAGTTTGCAATTAGTGGTTTTGAGTGCTGCCGTCAATTGTTTTACAGCATCATCAGTTAAATCGTTGCCACCGAGGTTTACGCTACGTAATATGCAATTAGTGTTTATGAGTGCTGTAGTCAAGTGCTCTACACCTTTATCAGTTATCCTGTTCCATGTGAGGGTTAAGCCGTTTAGTTTGCAATTATTGTTTGTGAGTGCTGTAGTCAAGTGCTCTACACCTTTATCAGTTATCCCGTTACCTTTGAGACCTAAGCTGTTTAGCTTGCAATTATTGTTTATGAGTGCTGTAGTCAAGTACTTAAGACCCTCATCCGTAATGTTGTTACCAGCGAGGTTTAAGCGTTCTAGGTTGCAAAAACCCTGATCAAACAATTTGGAAATTTCTATACAACCCGGTTCAGCAAAATTGTTAGACATTAAATTTAAGTGCACAATGTTCTTACCACTAGATTGAAGTGCATCCACTAATGTTAAACAATCACGAGGTGACAAGCCACAAAAACTAAAATCCAGCTCATTGCAATCAATTTGGGCCATTCTCCTTTGAACTTCTAAACTGGATGAATTGTTCTCATACATGCAGTTGAATAAAGTCAACACTAGTTCTTTGTCTTCCTGAGCTGGCCAACAGGTCAATGTTTCAGTTCGTGCCTCTAACTCTTCTCTCCTGATTTCGAGACTTGTAGTTTCTCTGGTAACAGATGATAATGGAAGAAGGCCGCTGAAAATATCAGTTGACTGTTTCTCTTGTTCCAGCAGTCCAGACACAAACTGCATCACAACTTTCCACGATCCTTCCTTAATGTGATCTGAAACAAATGTCTTCAGTTCTTCGTGACTCATGGTGTCCACCAAATACTTTGCTGCAAAAAACTCCTGCACAGTCACATGAAGAAAACAATACTGGGCTTTTCCCTCTTTTAAACCACTGCTAGTATCAGGTAAACGCTGGAACAAGCCATTCGTCTCTAGGTCGTTGACTTCCTGTGATTCAAAAACAAGTCTTCCATGTTGAATTCCATTAAAAGCAATTTCTCCTAGCCTGCTAAACACCCTGGTCACAGCTTCAGGCAATTCCTTAAATGGTTTAAGGTAAAAGTCTCTACCTTTGTCTTTATGGTGGCGGTATCGGTCATCGTCATAACAGAAGTAAAAGATCTTGATAGCAACAGAGTATATTTCTGTTAGCTTTGTCGGGAGGCAGCCAAGGTGGTCAGCAGAGTTGTCAATGAGCAACTTTAGCAAGCACGAGCAAATGATGAAACAATTCACGGGAATGTAGCAGAAAGATCGGAGGATGAGGTTACTCCTGATGTGTTCCTTTATGGTTTCTGCTTTGTCTCCGCCGTTTGTGAACTTTTCCACGTACTCTTCCACTTGATCAGTTGTAAATCCCAAAATTTCAACTGTTCTGTGAAAGCAAAGACTTGCAAAACATGACAGGGCGTTGGGTCTTGTGGTCGTTAACACTGTGGCACCAGCGAGAATTTTTCCAGATAATATGTTCTTGAGCAGGAAATGAAGAGGCATTCTGTCTTCTTCCCGCGGGTTTCTGTACAAAATGTCATCGTTATCAATTTTAGTTCTGCCAGAATATTCATCAAATCCATCAAAAATCACAAGGACTTTATTTGGATTTTGACGAATGTAGTCCCAAACTTCATTCTCATCGGAAAGGGCTGCTGAATATTCTGAACGATCCAGCAGTTCTCGAAGATTGAGTTCTTGATCAGCTACGAGTTTCAACATCCTCAGCTTAACGAGGAAAGCGACTTGGAAATCCAATTGTGGGTTTTCTCCTTCACTGAACAAGTTATCGGAGGCCCAATCGCGAAGAATCTTTGTACAAAACATAGTTTTTCCAGTTCCAGGATGACCGACAGCAAGAATGTTCCGTTTGTTGGCATCAAAAATATCTGCTGGCCGTTTTGGTCGTAATATTGCATTGGCTTTAGAGTAATGTTCCTGCCATATCTCTCTGTCTCCATTCAACGAGTCCGTTAATTTAGACCTGCCGTCATGAATAATCAAATCGGTGTAGATTTGGTCGAGCGTTATATCGGAGCCTTCACCAGGTTTAGGTTGGAAAGGTGATTTAAGATCACTCAAAGGTAGATCGGTGGCTGTTCGTACACGGGTCTTCATACTTTCGATGATTGTGACAACTGCAGGCGTTTGCTCGCTTCTGTTAGCGTGGTTGAATGACGGTGGATCATTGCTGACATCATTGTGGCTCGTGCAGATTAACTCAATCTCTTGTTGTTGAGGTTCTCTCAGAGAAGCATTTAAATTCGATTTCAGATAACATTTATAAAATTGCGGGTCTTCCATGAACCTTTCTTCTCTTCTTGATCGTACAAACTTAAACAAGATAAAGGTAGCCTCGAAAAATGCAAGAAATGCAAAAAATCCAGTTACCACGATCAAGGCGTGACAGCCGAGGGTTTTCTTAGCAGCTCGCTGATTATGACATTCGTATGAAGTTTGCGTTTGTTTTACATTGGAAGTCGCAATGACCATAATGTTTGTAAAGTTGTCCACTCTGATTATATTACAGTTAAAGGTCGATGGAAAGTTATGAGGATAAAGTAAATTGGCCTGTATAACGACGAAAAAAATCCCAAGAAGAAATCTGGCAGCAAGCTGAAAACAGTACGCTGTGAAAAGCTTTTTCCGGGTTGGGTTCCAGATCCTCTGCTCAGCCAGCTGTTCTTCACCATTTACTAGTATATGGGCTTCAAGTTCATTAACTCTCGACTTTACCACTTGTGAGTAAAATACACAAACACTTGAAGTAACGAAGAAGTTAATGATAACGAACCAATAAACAGGCATTTTGTGATACTGTTTTTCATACTGTTCGTAGCACTTTCCTCGAATAAGTTCCTTGTCGTCATTTGAGCCACAGCGAAAATCAAATCTTGTCTCGTTGCTTTCCAGGGGTGCAAAGATTCCAAAAAAGATAACTCCAAGCACAATCCACGATAAACTTCCCACATAGCTGAGCCAGTGGAGTGTCTTAGGAGAAACCAATTCTTTAAGATGTTCCATGTCGTATATCTATCGATTTCTCAGAGGCAAAATGATTAAATTCTGGTCTGATTGCATAATGAACTGGAATGGAATGGACTGCGGGTAAACGCAACATCTGGGAGTAATAGAAAAGAAAGATGTATTGTTTGATACATGATTAACAAAGCTCTGCGATTCTGTTTAAAACAATTATGACT